TCTGTAAGAGAATACTGTGGGAGACAATGCTAAAGGTTTGGTGAATTCTAGATAGAATATATCAGCAGCCTTTCTGTCATCCACCAGGCAGGTCACTCAATTATAGGAGATCAGGTTGGTCAAGCAGGACCTGCCTTTCTTGGACTCATGCTGGCTGGGCCTAATCCGCCAGTTTTCCCGCATGTGCCTTGTGAGTTCACTCAAGATTATCTGCTCCATAGCTTTTCCTGGCACTGAGGTTAGGCTGATGGGCTGACAGTTACCCAGATCTTCCTTACACCTCTTCTTGTAGATGGGAGTCATGTTGGCAAGTATGTTCTTCCTCAGTATACTTTCATATAGTGTTATAAGTATATAACCTATATGGGTGATGAGTTATTTTAAACTACATTTATATTTTTCCTTCAAATATAAATTGAGGGAAAATGGATTTTTAATTGCAATAAGTACAGAGAGAAAATTAATTTCAAGTATTTTATGTAAGTAAGTGGATACAAACTGCTATGGAGAAAAATAAAACATTGCCACCTATAGAGGTTTCGGCATCCATCTACTTTAATTTAAATTTTATGCACTGGATTGATTTTCAGATTAAATCAAATTCAATTCTGTGGAGTAATGCCTGGTACAAAAGCTTACTTTAACAGACATGAATTACTGTTCACATGTCAGGACTCATTCAGTAGCAGTGTCTGGCACATTAAATATCTCAATTTATTTTGTGGACACCATGCAGAGCAGGGTCCCATTCAGGAAAAGTCCTGGTAGTAGAATCCACTAATAATAAGTATTGTTTCAGTGAATTCCTATCACTTCTGACAAAATATTAAATATGGAAACACGTCCTTCTCTGAACAATGTACTGTCCTTTTCCCTAAGTTAGAGAGAGATTAATTTGATTGGTGGACTATTCAGTGGATAAAGAATTGGTTGGGTAATAGCAACCAGAAGATTGTTGTCAGCAGCTCTATATTCAGGTGGGCAGCAGTGATGAATAGTGTCCTCCAGGGATCAGTCTTGGAACCAGTGCTCTTCAGCATCTTTATCAATGGACATAGATGATGGGATCAAGTGCACCCTCAGCAAGTCTGCAGATGACACCGAGTTGTATGATGCAGTTGATATGACAGAAGAAGGGATGCCATAGAAAGGGAGCTGAACACACTTAAAAAGTGCTCTCACATGAACCGAATGAGGTTCAACAAGGCCAACTGCAAGATGTTGCATTTGGGTCAAGGCAATCCCAGATGTGAGTGCAGACTGAAAGAAGAACACACTGGGAACAGCCCTGTGGAGATGGATTTGGGAGTTCCGGTGGATGACAAGCTGGACATGAGCCAACAGCGTGCTCTAGCAGCCTGGAAGGCCACAGTAACCTGGGCTACATCAAAAGAGAGATGGCCAGTAGGTTGCAGGAGGTGATTGTCCCTCTCTGCTCTGTCTTTGTGCATCCAGGTCTGGGGTCCCCAACGTAGGAAAGATGTGAAGCTTTTGGAAAGGACCCAGAGGAAGCCAAGAAACTGCTCAGGGGGCTGGAGCTCTCTTATGAAGAAAGGATAATGGAGATGGGCTTGTTAAGCCCAGCAAAGAGGAAGCTTCAGGGAGACTTCATTGTGTCCTTTGAGTATTTAAACAGAGTTTATAAACAGAAGAGAAATCTTTTTACACAAGCAGATGTGATAGGACAAGGGGGAAAGGTTTTAATCTCAAAGAGGGGAGACTTATGTTAGGCATTAGGAAGAAGTTCTTTACTGAGTGCGGTGAGGCACTGGCACAGGCTACCCAGAGAAGCTGTGGTACACCATTCCTGGAAGTGTCCAAGACCAAGCTGGATGGGGTACAAGACAGCCTGAACAGTTGGAGGACAACCATCCCATGGCAGAGATTGGAACTGGATTGGCGTTAATGCCTCTTCCAATTCAAGCTTTTCTATGACTCAATGATTATTAGCATAAGCTTCTTTTAGGATAGTTGAGGAAGTAGGCACTCTTGAAAGTGATCTTTCATTTTTAATGTACAGTGATAAATTGTAAAATAACTGCACAAAGACTTCAGATTTGCTTCCTATGAATGTGCAGAATGATTGCTGCTCAGTTCTGTGGTTAAGCAATTGGTTATGATGTTTCACTGAGCTAAAACAATATTAGGAATTTGATAAAAATTTTGGACTATTTTGATTTAAGTTATAAGCGATAAAACAGGACTGATCAATTCACTTCTAAGACTAATTTATGTGCAAGTCAGACAACAAATTTTGAGTACTCAGAGAAGTCAGAAAAAGCCACAATGTCAATGAAGAAAACTTGATGTCCGTTCCTACAAGTTTTTAAGACTCTTGAAACTTCTTATGTCCTCTGGGACAAGCTTCATGTATATTAAGTATATTATTTTATATTATATAGGTATATCAGGTATATTAGTTTTTTCTTCAGGACAGTAATTTGGAGGTTATAAGCAAAAACAGTACATACAAAAATCGTAACTGCCAGACTTACAAAACTGTGTTCAAAGAACCTACATTTTAGTGACTGATACTTTTAGCCATTTTTATGACCAGGCTAAAGTTGTTCCACTGAAGATTCTGAATTTACCTGTAAAATAATCATAGGTCCCAATTGTTTAACTGCTACTGGTAGTGAATTAAGTAAACCCCTAGATCTGTAATGTAGAGAAAATATTTACATCTCTCATATATCTGTTCAGACTTTTCAGTGTTCATCAGGCTACTAGTTTACAAGGCCTAGGATACTGAGCTTCAGAAATCATCAGGAATTAGCTGGTTAACATGAATGAAACTAGAAGAATCATCACATTTGTTATGTTGCTGCAACTTACATGGCAAGCAAGTAAAACAATTAAAATATGATGCTTCATTGAAGTTTTTCCTGTATGTGTAAAAAAAGGATTTTGTTTAAGATCTTTACATCTTTGTTAGCAGTGCATTTGTTGCACAAATTAACTACAACAGAATATTGTTCATACAAACTGGAGTGTGACAACAGCCTTCTTTCCTATTTTAATACCTGAAATCAAAATAAAAGCTGATTGGCTTCTTGTTTCTCCTCTGTGAGTGCTACTAAGAGTAAAGTGCATTTCAGAACTAATGATGACTTTATTCATTGTGTGCATGCACAAAGACCCCAGATCTGATTTTGAGATAATGCAAATCACACTGCGTGACTGCAATGATGCGAGGTATAATGCACTCTATAACCCGACCTGTACAGTCACTGTTACCTAAAAAAGGTGAAACCCGGTATAAATTTGAGCTGAGTGGAAAGAAAGTTCAAAATCATAATTTCATTATATGAACTGCAAAAATATGAACTGTAGCTACACTAATTGAGATTACCTATCTTTGACTGAACTGTGTTTACATATGAGCTACCTGATCTCAGTTACAATCAATGAAGACATCGTGAGGTCTGTCAGTCAGTTCCTCTGACCAATAAGGAAAGCTATTCCAAGATAAAATGAACTATTTCCTAGGCCTCCATGGACTGCAGTGGGAATTTAGAAACTTGAATGTGTACCAACAGCTACACAGGAGAAATCCCAAATTAGGCACAATAAATCCTGATATAACTACCCAAACTTTACTAGTTTGAACTAGTAAATAAATATTCCACAGTCAATGAGACCAGCACCACCTTGGAGCAATTCATCACATCTTTGGATGCATGATTATCAAAGATTAAAGGGATCCCATCTCTGCTGATAGATATTCTCTGCATAGGGAAGGTTGAAGCTTACATTAGATTAAACAACAAAGGTGGATTTTATTCAAGACTAGATGTCTACATATGGCAAGTATCTCAGCTGCCATTACAGTTAAAAGGGTTTTTTCATTCAGTCACTCACTAGTGTCTACTGTGACTTGAAGCAATCTGAGCTATCATGCCTGGTGTCCAATTACTATTCCAGATTACTACAGGACATACGCCACAATTTCCAGTCTGTTGAAAATGTGGCAATTATGTTAAAGTGCATCAAGTTTCTTTAGTTGTATATTTTGAGGTAAATAAATGGAGCACAATGGAAATTCAATTTTCTCTAAAAGAAAGAATTTTACCTGAAGTACATATGTAAGAAAAAAAGTATATTATATTACATTATCATGAAACAGAGAAATACAGCGTATGCATGTAAGAAGAAACGGGTCAGGAAAGGCTTTGATATTAATATTTACTTTCACACCAATGCTCTTCTTTCCAATTTATAAGTGTGATTCATAGACACTCCTACTGCCACCAGTATTTGCACAGAAATCTGACATTTGCCTTATGTATGGAAAACAGAGTATCTGATTCACCTTCTCTTAGAATCACAGAATGGTGGAAGTGGAAAAGGTCCCTCTGATGCAACCACATCTCAAGCAGGGACGCACTGGGCAGGGTGCCCAGGAACATCTCCAAGCAGCTCTGGAAAATCTCCAAGGAAGAGACCCCACAGCCTCTGTGGGAAACCTGTGCCAGTGCTCCATTGTCTGCACAGCACAGAAGTTCATCCTGGTGTTTGGAGCAAACCTCCTGTGTTCCAGTGTGTGCCCACTGCCTCTTGTATTTGCACTGGGCACCACTGATGAGATTTTGGCTCTGTATCATTGAACACAAAATATCACTCTGGAGCCTTGATGAGCTGCTGTGCCCATAGACCAGTACCCTTGCTGAATCTTTTGAGAACCGAATCCTGACCTTGAATAAAGCATGCCAGGTTCCTACAGGAATAAAAAAGTGCCTCATGTGCCTTGAAGTTGAATTCAACTCTCAAAAACAAAATAGTTTGTGCTCATCTGCTGCTTAAATTTTGAAATGTATTTTCAATTGATATCTTGTATAAATTACGAATTATGAGCAATGTGCTTTACCAAGAAGACAGTATTCCAGTCACAAAGTACCATCCAAGTGGAAGGTCCCCCAGAGTCAGCAAGAATGACTAGAACATTGCAGCTCTATCATTGGAGTTTTCTGTGACAAACTTTTGCATTAACCATCATCCCTTTACAAGGTATCAGTTTTTATTTGGTCATTGTTGTTTAAAGCAGGAGAGGGCTTGCTTTTCTGTCCATCAGTTCCTCCTTTGGATGTGTCCTGGAAGAAAAGCCTTGGCATCCACAGTGACATTAAAATACGTTTGTATTCATTCCGAAAATTCTGGTTAAGAAGTCCATATATTATTGCATTAAGGCAGCTGTTGAAATAGGCCATGAAGTAGCTTACAATGAATAACCATTCAGGAACTTTCGGTGCCATTTCTGAAGGATTGATAGCTACAGCCAATCCTATGAAGTTCAGAGGCGCCCAGCAAAAGGCAAAAATCACAAAAACCACAAACATGGTAAGAAAATTTCTGAAGTCACTTGGTTTCAGTCTTGGCTTTGTTTCTGACTTGACTCGTCTTCTAACTTGAAGCACTAAGACCCAAATTCGAAGGTAGCAGAAGCTCACAACAGTGATAGGGACAATGAAATGAATTACCACAACTGCAATTGTATAGTAGGAGCTTGCAGTCTGAACAAATGTGCATGAATAGATGCGTGGATCATACTTCAAGGAGCCGACAAAAAAATTGGGCACAGTTGCAATTACTGTTAATACCCAGATTAAGGAGACATAGAGCATTGTGTTCCAACAGCTATACACTTTGTCATAGGCAAAGCTATGACATATATAGCAATATCGATTAATTGCAATTGCAGTGATGTTGAAAATAGAGCCTATTACACTTAGTCCCATCACAAAGCCACTCACTTTACAGTGCATTTCACCCAAAGTCCATCCATTGTGGAAGATAGCTAAGAGCACCAGTGGGTATGGATACAAGGCCACCACAAGATCAGCCAAAGCCAGGCTCACCACAAATGCATTACCTGAGGAAAAAGAGAGACATATAGACATAAGTCTGAAAGCAAGCATAGTTGTGAACATGAAGAAAATGAACCATCTTACTTTGTATATCTGCAACATTAAAGTATTGGTGATGTTGGCAAGCAGCAGGTATATAATATCATTATGGTCTGTAGGGTAAATAATTCTATCATTCAGCTGAGGCCACCATAGAAATAGCTGCAGCAACATGATGTTTCAAATTGCTGGTGAATGTATTATACCCTCCTTTCCATTTTGTACTTTAATAACCATAGCAAGACATTACATAAGCTTGTGTTGAGATGTTTCAGTATAGCTAGCTCCACAGCTGGAGAAAAAGAATAAAAGGAAAGAAAAAAGTCTAAATTGCACTAGGTAGGCAGGCTAATCTAATCTAATCTAATCGTCACTCTAATCTATGAGTAGAATACTAACTGGCTTGAAATTTATCAAGGGGAAGGACATAGAAACGTCTACTGGAATTAGAAGGATGTGCTGTTTTATACGTAATCTGAATGGATACACAATAGACTAACAGAAATTTTCTGCATGAATAGCTGTACTGCAGTTATTTTGTCACTGCATTGACTAAGAAAGAGTGAACTGCCTTCACTACTTTCTGTCAAAAGGTATATTTAATTATCTGCACATAGTAAAAAGGTGCAATTGCAAGAGAAAGAAAGCATTTACATGTATGGAAGAAGCCTCTAGGCCTTTTGTTCTGATTATGTTCAAAGAAATTTTAGTGATATGCTCAAAATGTGCTGTCTTTAAACGATGAAATTTCAAAATGTTGTACATAAGAAAACTATAATAAAACTGTGATGTATTAAACTATATTACTATAAACTATTACTATATTACTATAAACTATATTACTATAAACCATTACCTGTGCGACCTGGTGTAGGGAACCTGCTTTGGCAGGGGGGTTGGACTCGATGATCTCTGGAGGTCCCTTCCAACCACTACAATTCTGTGATTCTGTGATATTCATGAAAAATGAGAGCCTTACAATGACAAGTATTGGCTCCCCTGATTTTTATGAAATAATTCTATAGAGACTTGCCAAGAGAGCTATGAACTTTAGATTCTTGGCTGCACTGAAGCGCAAAAGACATAACACCTTTTAAAATTGTGTGGGTATAACTATTTTTTGAAAAGAACAATTAGCTGATTCATCTTAAAAATTCTGAGATTTTTTATCCTCATCTAGCAAAGTAGTTCTCAAAACATTTAATTTTAAACACAGAAATACTGCTATGAATAGGGATGCCATTAGTTGGGGGACAGAAAATGTAGAACCTTGTAGGACTACTTTTTAAAAAATTGCAGAATTTCACTTGTACACTGTTTTCTCCACCTGCTCCTGCAAGTCTACCTTTCTTAATTAGAACAATGGAATGGTGAATTCTTTCATCTATTTTAAGAAAAGGCCATGAGCATCAGAATTTGCTCACACCAGCTAGGGAACTTAACATTGAATAGAATTACAAATGCATAGCCACAGAAAGTTGGCTCATCTCAAGAACAGGTGGACAACTTATTTTGGATGTTTTCTTGTAATAAGTTTAGCATCCTTTCTTTCACTCTTTATGTACACTTTATGTAATTTACACAAGTATTTTCACAGCTATGGATAGCTGACTTGGTAAACCCCGATTAGAGCTATCCTAAAGAATATTTATTAGCTTTATGATCTATGAAGAAAGAATAAATAAATTAGGGAGAAGATTGGAGGGTAGTTGGTAACAATCTTCAGGTAAGTGGGTCAGGAAGGATATAATCCTTTCCCAGGTTTGTGTTGAACACAAAAAAGCTTTAGTTACAACAGGAAAGCTTCAGACTAGATATAGAGAAAAAGATGCTAATGGCATGAGGAAGGAGGTGCTGAACATCTTGCTTTGTGCCTGACGTTGGAGATAGTAAGAAAAAAGTAAATAAACATTTGTCAGTACTGGTCTACTGGTCCTGGTTGGGGCACAGGAAGAATGAAGGAACTTTGAAGGTCTCTTCTAGGTAAACTGTGATAAAAGAGAAGACTGAAAAAGGAAGAAGGGCATATTTATCAGAATGTGTTTACACCACAACAAGAATTTTTCCAATCATTTTTCCTCATACTCAGGAGAAAGTTAGAAAACATTTATGTTTTCATGAGGATGTGTGCCAAAATCCAGTCTCTTGGGCCTCCTAGCATCAGCTTATACTTAAAATGTAATTATTTGGTTAAAATCAACTGAGCACTGAGCTCCTTCAATCATTTTTGGAAATTTACTGGAAGGTATATTTGCAAGTGAATATCAAAACTGCATATGTAGTTTATGAATTCTTGAAAATTTCACCTGTATTGAATAAGGACAGTTAGCAATGAATCTGTCAAAAAGATAACATACCATTTCACGATGTAGAAGAAAGGCAGTACATTATCTCTAAAGGCCTCAAGCAGTTTTTACTGTTATGGCTGTTTAAAGGTTTGGGTGTTATCACTGCGTGCCACAAAGTAAGATCCAAAGTTTTTGTCTTTTATGTGGCTGACTGTAGAATGAAGTTTAATATTATATGACTGCAATTTAATAACCTACAAAAAGTAGAAAGAAACTCCTCTAATTCATAAAAAAGTATGCAATCAAAATTTCGGAAAATCAAAGTTCTTAGATGCTTTTTAAGTGCTTTGAGAAAGTAAGTGTTTCTTGATACAACTAAGAAACAGCATTTTGAATGACCTTAACAACATTCACAGAGTAATCAAAGGGGAAACTTTGGGCTATCTGACAAAACAGAAACCACAGAAAGCTCCTCTAGTTGTAATGATTGCCTTGATAATTTACCCAATAGATAAGCCAGTAGATTTCAATTTCATGAGATTGAAGATTATATTCATTCATAAGAAGCGCATTTGCTCACTGGAATGGAAAGACTCAGTTACAGAAAATACCTACCAGACATCAAACATCTTGCCAAGGACTCAAAAAGTTACATATCTGTACTGTTTTAAATTTTGATAGCTAATCTGTCTGGATGGTTTGTAATCCTCTTTAATTTCTAAATACCCTAATCGAATAATCCACTGATGTTCTGTTCATCAGGGTGTACAAATGCCACAATGCCTCTTTCTCTGCTCCTGTCAAACTAGGAAACAGTTTAGCAACAATATAAGCAAAAAAGAGAGGCATGGCAGATGGTGAATGAATAGCGAATAACCTCGTGGCAGATTTTTTGAAATACCAAGAATTAATGACTATGGATATTTCTTCTATCCTTCCAGTTTGATATTCAGACCTCTATGGAAAATTTAGAATTACCCTTGCAGATTTCTTACTTCATTTTGTCTTCATGTGGAACACACAAGGAGTGCTCTGAAAGTAATGCTTCCTATTTCATTACGTTGGCTCACGATGTCAGAGGTGGATGTTGGTGGTATGGCACTAGAGGCTGACCCTTCCCACCAACATTCCATTACATTTTGTTGCCATTCAACACATTGTAGCAGAGGAGCAATCTGACAAAATGGCATCTGACGTGGAAGTACATAAGAAGTAAAGGTGTTTAATTGAATTTTCCCTGTGGAAAAAAAGGCACCCATTGACATTCATTGATGCATGCTGAACATTCCCGGAGACCCAAACAGTGGATGTGAGCACAGCGAAGTGGTGGGTGGTGCATTTCAGCAGGGGCAACAGTGACATGAAAGACAAGCTATGTTCCAGGTGGCCATGTTGATTTTTGTGAGAGCAGCATGCAGGCTCTTGTTCATCTCTGGCAAAAATGCATAGCTAATAGTGATGACTACATAGAAAAAATAGTTCGTTCCTCTGCCAGACACTTGCTCCTGTATTCAAAATAACCTTAAAAAAAAAAAGTTCAGGAAGGCTTCAGATGGCTTTTTTTTGTGATAGACATATAAAAACAGATTCTGTGCTCAGTTTCTAGACAGCCATCTAGTCAAAGGTATCAATTCAGGGATGTGTGGTTTCATTCATTCTGTAAGTTACTTACATATAAACTTTAAACATACAGCACTTTTATTTCCTCTGATTTTTAAAATGGTCACAAAATACTCAAAGTGATTCTAACCCTTTAGTTCATTATCGTAACACATTAAAGGGGCTAAGTATGTTTTACTGCCTCAATCACAGCTTCAAATTTTTGCAAGTGATATTTCTGCAAGTGATATGCATACGACATCCCTCCTCAGCTGTGAAGTCACCCCTTCCTGATAAAAATCCTAATATTAAGCTCAGTATGAAATCTGACAACTTAAAATTTTTGTTTCTGACTACCAGAAATAGAAATCAAATATAATTTTTATGTTAATGTTATTCCCTTTATTTAAATTATGTTTGTATAATTTATCTGCCAGTTAGGCCTTTTTAATGAACAATGAAGTAAATGGGAGAATTGCCATAGATTTAAAGGATCCATTAACCAGACCATTAGAGATATAATAAATAAAAAGCTCTTATTAATAAGAATGTGAAATACTGAAAATAGTCCCTTCTCAAACTCCACTTGTTCACAATTAGTGATTTGTAATAAAAACTACGCAACTTTTTTTGCATGGAACTTCTGTAGTGCATCTTTTTAGGTCCAAGTCTAAATCATTTCTGAGCTCCAGAGGAGGAGTTTCAAGGTCTGGATCAGATAAAACAGAAACATACTCAACTAAGAATAAACTGGTATAAAAATAACTTCATGAATCTATGTCTCCACTCACAAATTTATGAGAATAGCTCTGAGACTAAAACTAAGGGCCAAACTGCTCAGGCCAATCATAAGCCACAGATTCTTCTAAACACCATTCAGAGTGCTGAATTAAAGTGTGAGGTATAAGTTTTCCCATTCAGAGTTCAGGATTTTTGCAAAACAGATGACTACTGTGATGGAACTGTGTAGCTGTTACCACACCTGGAGCTTTTTTGTTAAATGTGGGTCTTTGCTATATCTTTAACTGATAATCCTAACAGAAAATCCATTTATTTTGGCACATTATCTGGAAGGATTA